GCATTAGAGCGCGATATTCAACAAAGTGAGAAGAAATGAAGGCAGAAAACAAAGGAAGGGCAATGATATGAAAATGTCTTCATGCTCAGGGATAGATTTTTGACCGGGAAGTCCGTCCATGCTAAAAAGATCCGAAACTTATGTGAAGTGACGAAAATATATGCTCCAGACGATCTCAGATCGTCTGGTGGCCATCTGGAGACGATCTAATTCTGGAAAAGGTATTACTTCACATAAGTTTTCAAATCTTTTTACATAATCCTTTCGCAAATAATTTTCTATACATACAGTTCAATTTTGGTGTCATATGCTTCTGTGTGCGCTGTAAACAAGCAATTTGTTTATTTAAGCCCTGCTTTCAAATCGCGCGCACTTTTCGTCATGCACGATAGAGCATGTCAATCGTGTGATAACCTGTCCGTGTTTGACTAAATGGCGCTTATCTTGGTGCCTGGCTCCGACTCGTCAAAAACGATATCCCCTTTGTTGTTTGCTTCAAATACGAAGTCCAGCCTGCTTCCAAACGGTCTGTGCTGGACCCTGTACGCAGCCATGTTTGTCTTGAATGCTGGGCAAAACATGCAGCTATACTACTTTTATCGTTACTTAAAGTGAGAGAGCGATAATTTGCCCAATTTCGCAATCCATATTGTAGTTAGAACCGAATATTTGTGTTCGAATAGTTAATTTGGAATATTCGACTATTCGAACATTCGAATAGTCGAATATTCGAGAAAGTCCAATTATTTGACATTTGAATAGTCGAATAAATGAAAAAGGCCTGTATTCGAATAATTCGTTCATTCGATGATTTGGAAAAATGAGTTATTCGAATATTCGAATATTCGAGCCAACTTGAAAGACAGTCATTAGAATATTCGAATATTCAAGGAACATTCATTTGAAAATTCCACGTCAAAAGAAAACTTCAGTTGTTCTACACTGAGTACAAGTATGTCCCCGATCAGTCAATCACGCAAACGAATCATATGACAGAATGGCTAGCAAGCTTCCCTTCTAAAACGCGAGTCGCGAGTCATGCCAGAGCATAGTGATGACAAGTTTTAGCATATCATTTGGAGTGCTGAACTATCTTCTGGAAACCGCGTTTGAGAAATTAAAATGCAATATGCGGAAATGCCACCGAGCTCTAAATTGGGTGAAGAGAAAGCCGTTATTAGGCGCCCTTTAGCGGACCACTGGTCCTCAAACAGCTTGCACAAGCATGTGAAGGATCAGCAGTCATTTGAGGCAGCAGGTATAGGCAAAATTCGTAAGGACCTGAACTGCTTGACTTGTGGCGGCAGTTATATCAGTCACTATACTCAAATCGGCTGCCCTTATAGTCCGAAGGTATAGAAAACTAGTGTTAGAATGTTGCAAAGTTGTGGTGGAATAATACCTCGAGTAGGCTTGTGAATTGAACAGTAATTATTGCGAACCTGAGTAAAAGACATGGAAGATCCTTTACAACAAAAGTACACTTCAAAAATGCAACTAAAACAAAAAACAACTTTGTGAGAATTCAATCCTACAGCAGAAACTGCGAAACTCAGTGATTGATAATTCCCGACAAGTATTAGATTATCAACTAATATACAGATATTCCCTTAAGTTTTCTTTTCCTGGATTTAGATGAGCACAGAAGTATTAGGTTGTCCCGAAAGTTTTGTCCGTTTTTTTCCATCGCTCACTAGAGCTCACAGAACATCAACCATGGACAACTTAGATACGATTTGATACATATTTTTATCTTCTTTCTTACAGCTGTATTTGCTCTCTGATCTACTCTGTTTTTGCAATGTTAACGCTACGGCTTTTTGAGCAGCTTAGAAGTAACGCCAAATCTTGATGAGAATCATGTTTCAATTCGCAAAAGCTTCAAAAGCTTTCGTGAATTTGCTGCAGTTGCGTGTTTGATGACTTCGAAAAAAAATGCAAACCTCCGAAAAAATGTTTTTGAAGCTAAAAAGAAAAATTGAGACTTCCAAAGAATTAATGTCTTGAAGCTAAAAACAGCAAATTAAGAGAACCTAAAAATATTACGAATATTACCTTGTAGTCCGAGAATTGCTCTATTTAGTCATACTTAGTCCTTTCAACTTTTAGAATAAGATTCTAAAAAAGTAGCCTCACTTTGAGCAGATAAAGTTGACGGGTGGAGAATTTTGGCAATTATCAAAGAAAGCATACAAGATTGTGGTTCAAAAATGTATTCTCAAAAGGAGAAGGGAAAGCTGCATCGAATGCATTTTGAAACTCATTCGGGTCTTTATTTTGAGTGGTTTTGTGGTGGTTTGAAGAAATGGACAAAACTTTCGGGACAACAGCAGAGGTTCACTGATTCTATTACTTATAGGCTCCCCAGTGCTAGTCCCATCACAAATAAATTACAAACAGATACCTAATCTAAAAGGTTTTCCATGTTAAATCTTTAGCTTCGGGAGAAACTTTTGTTACGAAGAATAAATGCGGACTTGAAGATTAGTAAGTAAGGCTTAATAGTCATCTTAAGAGACCATGAACACCTTGAACCACATGTTTCAGTAAGATTCTTCGGTCTTTAGGTGGAACCCTGACCACGACAATAACCCAGTCACCCTACCACTACATATAATTATCGGCTACAAATCTAGATCAAATATGGCGGTTAATTTTTTTTTGCAGAAAACCGCAACAAAGAAAAAACCAGCATTGTTTGAGGTATTAAATTATTCGAATAGTCGAATATTCGAACAGGTATGATTAAATATTCGACAATATGTAATTATTCATTTACTCGAATAGTCGAATATTCGACCAACCCCATTTATTCGAATATTCGTTCATTCGAATTCTGAAATGTAGCATTATTCGAATATTCGAATTCGAACAATCTGAAAATCACAGATCGAATGATATTCGTTCGTTCGAATATTTTTTCAAAAGCCGATTATTCGAAATTCATTCGCTCGACGAAATTTTTTGGTCGTTTCAACTATGATCCATATAAGGGCCGCATGCACTAACATGGCCGCGGGGAGGGGATCGCAGCTTTAAAAAAAGCTTTATATTTCGAAACTCCAGATATTTGAATTTCACGTTGTGTACCTATCCGTAAGTATTCCTACTATCCTTCACTATGAACATGTTGAGCAGGAGCGAGAAGCTACCGCATTTTCCAGCTTTTGTATGATCCCTGATGATTCCTGGCGCTTTTCGTTAAAGTCATTTTTCTTTCTCCGAAGTTAACGAAAAACTTCCAAAGTTGCGCAGATTATCTAACCCAACAGTGCTAAGCATGTTGCTGATAAGAACAAATGATGTTTTGAAGTCATGAAAATTTCGATGATCCACAGGTCGAAATTTGGGGTATACCGAAAAATTAGTTTTTTCAAAACTTCATTTGTTCTTATCAGCAACATGCTTAGCACTGCTGTGTTAGATCAGTATAACTTTAAAAGGATTTCGTTAACTTCGGAGAAACAAAAATGACTTTGAAGAATAGATGTTCGTCCCCCAGGGATCATCAGTAGATCCTACAAAAAGCTGGGAAATGCGGCTTGTACAGCTTCTCGCTTCTGCTCAATATGTTCATAGTGAAGGATGGTGGGAGTACTTACTTGCAGGTAGACAGCGTGAAATCCAGATAACTGGAGCTTCAGGATATGAAGCTTTCTTCTGGAGCTGCGATCCCCTCCCCAGCGGAAATGTTAGTGCATGCGGCCCTAAGATTTTTCTGCAATAAAACCGCTCATAAATTCTTCTACAAACGAGCTCAGCAAATACGGAGTGCAGACTTCAAATCGGCGTTTTATCCTACATAAAATGGTACGCAATATGTTTGAATTGGGTTCTTCGACTTCTGACCATTTTTTGTCGGCACATTGAGAGAACTCGAGAGTCAAAAAGTAGACAAAGATCTGTCAAAATGGACTTCTGCCATGGATGATTTTTCTGCAATTAACCGTTCATAATTTCTTCCACAATTGAGCGCAGACTTCAAGTCGGCATTTTATCCTACATCAAATAGAATGCAACTTGTTTGAATTGGCTACTTCGACTTCTGACCATTTTTGTCTGCACACTGACGGAACTCGGGTAAGTCGAAACAATAGACAAAAATCTAACTAAATGGACCTCTGCCAGATTTTGAGGAGGTTATGTAGTTTACAAAATACTTTCAATACAAAATAGTTTCCCAATTTCATGTTGATCCCTATTGTGCTAGGAAATCAGGGGTGTAGGGCGTTAGGCGACAAGCCCGATTTTTTCGACCCCGAAAAACTCCCCCTTGCAAAACGTCTCCTCCGCCAAAAATAGGGGGGGGGGGTGGGGGTTGCGGCTGATACATTACTCGACGCCATAGAAAAAATGGCGCATAGTTTTGACTTATGGGCTTTACGTTGATTGCGTTTTGCACGTTTTGTCGCCTAACGCTTGCCCTCCGGAAATCAGAGCAGAATTTAGCACATAGGTTCGAGGGTGGGACTGAGGCAACTATGACCTGGGGCACTAAACTATGGAGCCTATATCTAACACCAGGATATCGAGGGCGTACCATCTCATTGAGCCACCGCTTGGAAAGGCATTGTTGACAAAATAGACACATTCCTGATCTTGTTAAAATCAGAGCAGAACCTCCAACCATATTATGGCCACGGCCCCACTCTCTAATTCATGCACCAAATTTTCACCAAATAGCAGAATCACCAAGCCCACGAATGCATTTATTCATCTAAACCGTGGATCGATCATACTGAAGTTGTGCATCTTTTGCTTTCCCTACGCCGACTCTTGGGCACAGCTAATTTTGGGCAAACTTCGAGACGTCCGACATTTTTGTTGTATAGCTTTCTTACCAGCAAGATTTTTGGAATGTTTTTGATAAAAGGTTGCGAGCGAGCCTCAAGAAGTAGGAGTACTGTTTCCAGCGCTCGACCTTCAATCACTTGCTGTCCCTCCGCTTCCCCCCCCCCTTTCCGCAATGCTTGAGATGCTTGGAGAATGTTGTAAAAGCTGATAATTTGCACTACACGTCGCGCATGTCTGGATTCTAGATTTAGTCCCTGTTTACTTACACAACAATTCCATTTCGTCGTGAGAATTACCATCTACTATGCTACATTCAATGCTGTTCCTGCTCTCTGCTCTCGTCCCGCTGGCAGACGTTGTCACAGCTCCGTCAAAAGGTAAGGACCTTTTAAGTTTGCGTTATAATTCCACATGAGCCACTTCTAAACAGCGATCTATAGATGTTCAAGCCCACCTGTCTGATCGTTCTCTTCGCAATATCCCTGCCGTTCCTATAAAGAACGCCCGTTTATCCCAGGTTAGCATAATACGCTTCAATTTGAGTCAGGATTTATCTTCCAAAAATGATTTCGATTGCAGACGTGATGAATTAAGAACGTAAATATGAACTAAGAAAGTAAATATATGGGTGAATGAGGCGAAAGTGAACTTTCGCCTCATTCACCCATATTAGTCGTCGTTCTAGTGTGGATAAATGCAGAGCGAACGCTGCATACATAGCGCATAAGATAGACTTGAAGCGCCCACAAGGGCACCGTCCATCCAATCTCGACTTCTAAGTTTTTGCCGTTTTAGGGCCTTCTCATGTTGTCTTTGATTCCGAGCATGAAGTTCAGATCCGCAAAACCCCAGCAACCCTCGTTCCGGAGAACCCGCAGGCCGATTCTTCGGAACGGTGATTGGATGGGCGCGCAGGGGTGAGCGAGCATTACTGGAGAAATGCGCTGCTTGGAGTTCTCGCGCCTCTCCCTTATTCCTGAAGGTTGTATCGCTCCCGAAACGATATTTTGTGCCGCTTGGGCATTGGCTTGATAGGTAACCCTTCTGCCGTATGATGCCAACAGCTTAAGACTCCTAATCTAGGGTCAACGGTGCCTTTAAGGTGCCTTATACCGCGATGGTAGCGGCCCTAACAGTCGTCAGCAGCATCAGCTACGTCAGCCATCGCTTTGGCCTCCACATCAGTTAACCCTAAAAATAAAAACCGCTATCTTGCCAAACCTTCGTTTAAGGGGATGTTTAGCACGCTGAACATGAATACCGTATTGTGCACGGTAGCGCCATTTCCCTGGGTCACTGTCATTATAAGGTAGTTGGCTGGAAAAGCCAAATAGTTGGCTGGAAAAGCCAAACTTGCTCTAAACTCTGCCTAGAAAGGTCTCTCAAGCACGCTGACTAAAACTCTCATGCTCGTTCGCCAACAACGACTTATTATGTAGTCATGGCAAGTTACAATGTGTGAATAGACCATTTTTTGCGCCTTTGAAGCCATTTTCATCAAAAGCCACAAAAAAGCCTTATCATACAAAATAAATGCAGGGTTCGTAATAGTTTGAATGATGAGTAGTCTATCCCGCAAGCCAGTAGTACAAAAGAAGATAAGGGTTTGAACAAAGAAGATTTGCGAAAAGAAGAAATTGAAATCCAAAATTGTTAGATTTTGTCCAACACTTCTTCGTAGTCCTCACCCAAGTAAGAAGTTTTTTTTTTTTGATTCTCAGCGAACAGTTGAACGCTTTTGAAAAATCTGTCAGCAAGAGGCCTACATTTACGCTCACAAAAATGAGCAAAGCTTTGGCGATTGAAAGAAATTTATGGGCCACGGGATGACCAGAACGACTATCCATTCTGAGGCGCCTATATCTGTGCCTAAATAACTGAGAAAATAGTGAAGTGTGCATAATGTGGACAATTCCCATTACGTACACTAGCTGAATACCTAAAAGAATGCCTCGGAATTATGGCCAGAAAGTAAATGCAATGAAACTCTGGTTTCGAGGACGGTTGTTTGAAGTTCTGCAAATTCCTAGCAAATAAAGCTAGAAACCTGTTCCGACATCTTCAGATAGAGCATGAAAGCTTCTTAATACATTGCTAAATCTTATCCAAAAAAAGAAAGTTTGATGAAATAATATTGTCCTGAATTATGGCCTTGAGAAACGCTTATTATTTTTGCAACAAAGATTGTTCTCCCATAGGTACGGGTCCCAACATAGCAGTCTCAAACTGCTGCCATAAAGTATGAGCGGTTTTTGGGATGTATTCCATACAACAAACAAGTTTGAAAAAAGGGCAAATTTGAATCAATTGTAAATTGTTTATCTGAAAACTTGCTTTCAGAGATTTACAAAAGTTTTTTATTAGGTTACCCGAAAGACCGTTATGCAGTCGCGTCAGAGTGGTTTTAAATTGGAGATTATCTGTCATTCGTAAACGAGCGAGCTTTATTAATTGGCATATGAACAGACGCAAGAAAATTTGATCCACATAAAGTAAAAAAGCAAAATGTGGAGAAATTTAGGGTGTTCAAAAATCAGATCTCCTTCCAAAACACTTTTGCGTTGTTTGCCAATTTTTGTTTTTCAATCTTCAGCCTAAAAAATTTTGCAGAAAGGTATATATGAATGTCAGATGTGGAGTGTGTATGCGTGGCCAAAGTAGGATGGAATCCAGTTTTTTGGGTGTTAAGTTTGTTGAGGCTTTGCTTTCAAAAGTCGCGTGAATCGATTTCTACAATTGTTGTGTAATCTTGTAGAGCTTGCTTTCCTTTACAAAATGATATGCTTCCTACATTTACATATTTACTCCTCTGGTCGCGCAAGAAACGGTCATTAATCTTCGAACAACCTAATGTTTAGCTTATTTGGTCACTCATCTGATTAGTAGAAAATGTGCCACATCCGAAAGCGATTATGAAAGTAGTTGAGACCAGGGTCAAGCGTGGGGTGTGGCACGCCACACCTGGGGTCGTATTGAGGACTCGACAGGGAGTGAGGGGGGTCGTAGTTGGGTAACTTGATAATAGTGATAACACGATTCCTAAGCAGTTTCTCAGGTAACTTCACTATGCCAAATTCAAGCACGTGAGAGATTGACTACCTCAGCATAATAAGAGGTGCTACGAAGCTTAAAGAGTATCATATCCATAGCTAGCACGTCAATTAACCTTTGTAGACAATTCTTGAGCGAAATCTGAAGGCACAAAATACTAGGCCTCCTAAGTGAATTGGTCATATTCCAACATGGTTAACTTTGTTTCAAACGTGGAATAGCTATCCGTTTTTGCACTCAAGGCAAAGCACTACTCCTTGCTTGTCCACCTCAGAAATTCCGCTCTAAAAGACCTCCAAACTGCGGAATTAGAAGCCGACCAATACCTCTTTTTTCCCATTTTTCGGTTTTGATGGCTGTGTTTCATCAAATATTACTCAGAGCTAAGAAGACAAATCAGGCCCAAAGCACTTCTGTGAAATCTACGAGATTTACGCTATCGATTTGTATAAATACTGTTTGCTAAAAAACTTTCTTTGATATAGTTAATGGAATGCGGCAGGACCCCTAAAAAGCTGTGGCCGCGTAAATCTCGTAGATTTCGTAGAAGTGCTTTAGGCCTGATTCGTCTTCTTAGCTCTGAGTAATATTTGGTGAAAGCACAGCCATCAAAACCGAAAAATGGGAAGAACAAGGTTTTGGTTGGCTTCTAATTCCGCAGTTTGGAGGTCTTTTGGAGCGGAATTTCTGAGGTGAACAAGTAAGAAGTAGTGCTTTATCTTGGGTGAAAATGGGTAGCTAATTCATCTTTGAAACCAAGTTGATCTTGTTGGAAAATGAGCATCTCACTTTGGTGGCCTAGAATCTTGAGTCCTCAGAACTCAAACATTGTCTACAGGAGTTGATTGACATGCTTATCTTATATTAGGTCGTTCCGAAAGTAATGTCGCTTTTTTCAAACGTATGCCACATCTCGTGGAACAAAGGTGTGTAGGAAATTCTGTTAGCATTTGATGCAGCATTTCATTCTCTTTCTAACGGTTATAAAGTTGTTGCAATACGATCAATGAGCTTCCAGAAAAAAGTCAAAATCTGCGACCTATGCTATTTGAGATGGCCAAGTTTCACAATTTTTCTAAAATTTTATAACGAACCTCAAAAAAAGTCCAAGTGATGGTATAGAGCAAACCCTACAGGAAACAGCACAACTTTTTTCTACTTTCCAGAGCTCGTTATAATTTTTGTACAGATTTTTTTTATGGAACCACCGAATTTTAGCAGGCTCGTCTCAGACAAAAGTGCATCAAACGCCAGCAAGCCTCCGGATTTTGAAAGTTACAAAGATGAATTATGGTTTGGCAACATTTTTACAAACCAAACGAGCATTTACCGCTTCAGTTTAGCAGCTTGGAAAAATTGAATTATGATGATTTTATCTCGGAAAACTTGATGAATCGGAAACAAAAACCAACTAGTAGAAAGAGTAGAAAAAGCTGCGTCGAATGACACCCGAGTTGCTTGCCGGTTGTTGTTCTGTGTGGTTCAAGTTGACCAAATATGCAATTAAATAGCATTGAAAAATTGATTCCAGAAACTCTAAGAAGCAGGCTAAGGAGAAGGAAAAATTATCCTGTGTCCTATGAGGTTTGCTTTAGCTAACTGCCACTTGCACATCTTCGGAGAATACGTACAAAAATTTAGAAAAATAGCCGAACTTGACAATGGCAAAAAGCATGAGTCGCAGATTTTGGTTTGAATTTTTCGAGAGCTCATTAAACATTGTGCAGCGAAATTAGAACCATCAGAAAGAGGATGAAGTGCTGCATCGAATGCTTCTAAGATCTCTTGAAAACGTTGATTTCACGAATAGTGGCGTTCATTCGAAAAAAGCGACATTACTTTCGGAACGACCTAATATATAAAGCTGAATGTCTGTTTGTATGTGTCTGTCTGTCTGTCTGTCTGTCTGTGTGTACGTATGTTCCGAATAGAAAATTCCATTTCTGAACCGATCCGGACCAAACTTGGCACACGCACACTTCGAGCCCCGGCGGGTGTCATAGGCTACTTTTCGTCATCGATCGATATCGATTTTATCGATTTTTATCGATTTTTTTGCGGAGTTCACCTACGGGGCTGGGAGTTGGCATAGGGGGGTAAGTGAGCATGGGGATTCCGAATACAATATTAGTTTTCAGAATTATCGATTACTTTT